TTATAGAAAGATTTAATTTATTGAACTTATTTAAATCCCAAACTTATCAGCTCGTACATTTATTTAAAATGAATAGTATAGTAATAAAAATATATAGTAGCCTACCATGACGGACCCGGCTTGAATAAATATAACTAAAGTTCTAACATATTTGACAACTGAAACTTATCTGTTCGTAGATTTATTTTAAAAGGTTCCATGCACCTTCCTCGACTCCAAAGGGACGTATGTGTGCCCGACCTTTAAACACAAAGGGGGAAGTTACAAACCCTTGATAATCCTTGAGTAAAGTTCTTAGCTAGTTTAGGCGTCGCCTTTCGTTCAAGGTTCAACGCCCATTGCAAATTGCAATGACGCAAAGATGTTAGATTTGGTGAATTCGACAGCGTTCACTGGATCGACGTTTTCTTTTGAACATTTACAGGTCATGATTGTCTGTGAGATAGAACGACCTCAGTTACATTTTATGTGGTACACAGGTTTGAAAATCACGCTTGACCGAAGGGTGTTTATTTTTAAATCCCGTTCCCGCGTTTCTCGGCAAAGAAGCAGCATTCTTAAAGCCACACAACAGGAGTTGAAAAAGTCGGTTGTGTAAAATGCCCCGCGGTACAGGAGAGATGCGGCCACGTACTGCTAACTGTGGGTATTTATAGTTGTAATCCCTATTCGGAGGGACGTAGCTTTGGGCGTCGTTCTGCACCTTAGAAGCGCGGGCCAGCTTTAATCACCGTCTCACTCGTTAGATATATGCTGATACCTATCGGTGACGCTCTGAGCCATATGTGGCTAATTAGAATTACGTTGTCGTCAAGCAAAATATTAAAGCTTTTGCACTGATAGTTGGTTGCTAGGCAACGCCACTTCGGTTAGAGATTCGAGCCTCCCCCCGGTTTCGTCTATCGCGCGACGGCGGAAGGATATCTTTCTCCACGTCTGGTCCGTCTACGTGACAATTAATCTTATTTGGAGCGGTCGCCATTTGAACTCGATGAGGCTGCGTGCAAAGAATGTCCTTTGTTTGGGCAGTTTTTCGCTGTAGGCGAGCACCGTCGCCCTCGCCATGAGTTATACCTCCCGACACATAAAACGTTTAGGTTCAATTAGTTTTTGAATTTACAATTTTTAGAAGCTGTTACTAGTCGTTCCTTGTACATTTCAAGAATATCGATAAGGTATATACGACACAACGTAGGTCCTCATGATCTGCCATAAACTGAAATGTAAAATTTTGTGTACTTTTACGAAAACCTATCATCAGCAAGGAAGAAAGAGAAGGCAACATCCGACAATGTACAGCAGACTGAAATATTGAACCATGCCATCTACAGAGGAGTCTGTTGACTGAGCGGTATGAGAACGCAAATATCAATAAATATAGTAATATAATTACTATTGTATTATCACTTTTAGTATTATTTTTATCAACGATAAGAACAATGATGATGACGACGACGAGGTTAACGTTGACGACAATAACAATGCTACTTCTGCTCCTACTGTTGCTATTCAGCAATATTCCAGCTATATGGCGGCGGTCTGTAAATAATTGAATCTGGACCAGACAATCCAGTGATCAACATCATGAGCTTCGAACTAAGCAATCGGGATACGATGACATGTGTCCACCAAGTCAGTGAGCCTGACCACCTGATCCCGTTAGTCGCCTCTTACGACACACACGTCTTCACGGGTTGAATCGAAGAGAAATAAGGGAATAAGAATGAATATCAGATTGGCGGACTTCGGAAGCGTCTGAAATAATACGACTCTATTGACTGAGTGATTCCCGGCAGCCAATTTCTCCCGCTCATAAAGTCTCGGAACTACTTGAGGATGTTAGGGATGTTTGTCTGGAATATTGTGACCGTCTCCGACATCCTAGCAGCAGCGAAGTCTTCGGTTTATGTAACACGCTGTTAGTCCAACGAAATACATACATATCTAACATCAGCGGGATAATGCTGTATTTATATACATAGTATTTCCTCTATAAATGTACAATTAATGTTAATAATTCATGGCACGTGAATCGTAATTCTTGCAACAGCATGATTTGTCATTTGACGAAATGTCTGCAGTATTCAATTACGGATCGGAGTTACCGACAACTTTATATAATTCATATATTCTACAATCTGACAATTTCTTTTTTGATCTATTGTACACACATATCCCGAAGAACTTGAAGAATCTGACATCATTGCACTACGAGGTGGTGAAGTAGCCCAGTCATTCAAGTGTGCGTTAGTCAGATCGAAGACACGGGATCGATTCCCTGTACTCAGTATTATATCCATGGTATCGGTGGAATTGAACAAAATGCGGCGTAAAAACACCCTCAAAATTGCTCTACTGTCCTCATGTGTCAGTCGACATCAAACCCCCCATTCCGGACCTGTGTACAATTGATCTTCAATAACCCATACTTGTGGTAAGAGACGACTAACGGGATCGGGTGGCCAGGCTCGCTGACTTCGTATCCCAATTGAGCATATCAATGTTCACTGTATTGTCTGGTCCACACTCGATTATTTACAGACCGCCGCCATATAGCCGGAATATTGCTGAGTGCGGCGTAAAACTAAACTCACTCACCCACTCGTAGACTAACGGGATCGGGTGGCCAGGCTCGATGTATGTCCTTGTAGGGCTGGGTATTGCAGAGAATTTTCATATTGCAATATATTGCGATGCGAAAGCATATATTGCGATATGTATTGCAATATATTGCAAGAAGTTCTTTTTTTACAAAAAACTACTTATAATCGAGTTAATGCTTGATTTATAAAGCAAAAACACAACAAAATGACCATGCTTGATAAGCTTTAATAAAAACTTTTAATCATGACAAAATAAAAATGTAAATAATATTTGGCACAAATAAAAAAAGGAAAGGAACAATTTATAAAACGGAAATATCCGAAGATTTCCGAGTGTTACGAAGTCTTTTCGTAATGCATGTCAAAATACCGGTTTTCAGTCAGCGTATCGCAATACGTATTGTTTTTTTCTCTGAACCGGTATATACCGGTAAATCGGTTATATTGCGCAGCCCTATGTCCTTGCATCCCAAATGCGTAGATCAATGCTCATACTGTCAATTACTGGATGTTCTGGTCCAGACTCGATTATTTACAAACCGCTGTCATTTGTTGGAAAACCGGAGTCAAACAACCAAACAACAAACTAACAAACAACACGCATTCCTGTAAGTTCAAATAAGGGACGAGTCGGCCTGTTTCACTGGCGCCAATGTCGGCGTAACCTCATTAATGCACCCCAAGCCTTTGATAACCGCTGGTTACGCACTTACTACTACATCAAGTGAACCAACACCGTCTCCATAATAAGGACACTTCTTAATCCGTATGATTTCTAATTCTAACGGTTTTAAAATACATGGAAGTGTGCCTATTACTGGCGTGACGATGTCAGACATGACAAAGTCTCAGTAGTGGCGAACTCGAACATTATTTTCAAGGAAAAACTCAGACACTGATAACCTGCAGCTGATAACAATATCTCAGTATTATTGCATTTATGTTCAAATATGATAAGCTATTGAGAAGTGATCTTATTATATACCTGAAGCGAGCTGTCATATACCTGGAATACTGATTAGTGCGTCCTTAAAAAGCAAACGCACGAACGAACGCACGAACGAACGCACGAACGAATACACAAACATGTAGATTAAGTTGTGGTCCCCGGTTCCAAGTCGTAGTGCTGCATAGACTTGTGTCCCTTCTCACGACCCATTGGTCTGGGTTCGAATTCGACCACATATTGATCTTTAGTAAGCAGAACCATTTTGCTCACAGATTTATCATAAGGGTACGAAAAAACGCCCTGCATCAATTTGGGCTTTCCTCTCACATAAATCTTAAAAGTCATATGACGTTTTAAACACCCGATCGTCGTCATGTGACGCTATAAGCACCTGATCGCCGCCATATAACGTTATATGCGCCTGATCGTCGTCTTATGACCTTATATGCACTCGATCATCGTCATGTAACGTTATAAGCACCTGATCGCCGTCATATAACGTTATAAGCACCTGATCGTCGTCTTATGACCTTATATGCACTCGATCGCCGTCATATAACGTTATGTGCACCCGATCATCATCATGTAACGTTATATAGGCACCTGATCGCCGTCTTATGACCTTATATGCACTCGATCGCCGTCATGTAACGTTATAAACACCTGATCGTCGTCTTATGACATTACATGCACTCGATCGCCGCCATGTAACGTTATAAGCACCTGATCGCCGTCATATAACGTTATATGCACCCGATCATCATCATGTAACGTTATATAGGCACCTGATCGCCGTCTTATGACGTTATATGCACCTGATCGTCGTCGTATGACCTTATATGCACTCGATCGCCGTCATGTAACGTTATAAGCACCTGATCGTCGTCTTATGACATTACATGCACTCGATCGCCGCCATGTAACGTTATAAGCACCTGATCGCCGTCATATAACGTTATATGCACCCGATCATCATCATGTAACGTTATATAGGCACCTGATCGCCGTCTTATGACGTTATATGCACCTGATCGTCGTCTTATGACCTTATATGCACTCGATCGCCGTCATGTAACGTTATAAGCACCTGATCATCGTCATGTAACGTTATAAGCACCTGATCGTCGTCATATGACGTAATAAGCACCTGATCATCGTCATGTGATGTTTCAAACCTCCGATAGCAGTCATATGTTAGTTTTAAATTCCGATCGCCGTCATGACATTTTAAACCCGCGATCGCCGTAGGTCATATCACATTTTAAGCCCCGATCGCCATCATAATGACGTGTAAAGCATCTGATCGGCGTCATATCAAGTCAAGCAATCGGGTCGCCCTCATGTGTCGCTAAACGACACTATCTAATCCATCCATAATTACAGTATCATAAGATATAAACATATTCACCACCTGCCTGGTACAAGTAATTCATTTTAACACTACATACATATCTGCTGTGTTCAGTCAGATGGGATGAACCAGTAGAGCGCTAATAAAACAATCTCGTCCTTGGCCGCAACGTGTGCATTACATACACGGTATAGACATACTGTCAAATGGTGTACACAACTAATCAATATCATGATGCAGTTATTAATATCATTTTTGCGTGATGTGGATATCGTGATGTATTAGAGCTATGAGTCAGAGATCGATCGTCCGTTGCTGGAGACGAGTTATTTAATATGAGAGACGAATATTTAATAAACAAGAACGTATATTCCTTTCCTACATAAAAGGAAAAATATATATTCCAGGTCTGCGCGAAGAATCAACCGTTTTGCTGAATTAAAATAATGAGTGGAAGAGTTCTATATTCGTCGCTCAGTTCAAATAAGAAAGGATTGCTGCGTAAAGACGGGAATTCTTCATGACGTGAGCGTATGTCCGACTACTCCGTCAACCCAGCGACGCCAACACCACTGTCGCCGTCGTTGAGAACGCTGTTATCATATTGAACTCCTATGTTACAGGCCTTTTAAAACCATTTAAATACAATTACATGATTTGAATAACATCGTTGAAATACAATACCTCTGACAATGCTGGCGAGGTGTGGACATATCAAGTTCATTACGCATGTTGCCTTTTTCTCCTGTTCCAGAGAAATCCTAATCTATTGTAAAACGATTGATGTTGGGTGATATTGTGTTACACGCGGGTTTCAGCATGTGGTAATGTGATGCTTTTGTACCGCTTGTGTGTGAATGTGTTATCTTTTGCTTTGGTATTCGTGACTTCGATATTCAAAATGGCTGCCGTGAACGCAATGTCAAGGTGAGTGGATGGCAGTTCGTTATGTTTCAGTACGTAAATTACACTAACGTTAAGGAGTTGAACCTGAGTCAGAGTTGCGGTCAACAGTGTGAGCAGGGCCGTAGGGAGCCCAGGGGGGCAGGGGGGCAGGGGGACAGCTGCCCCCCTAGAATCTTTTTACAAATTAATGTTTGTGCATCAAACTATTGATATAAAATACACAATGCCATATTAGAAAGTGGTCAAATGCAACATATGTTATATTTGGGTTTACACTTTCTTTGTAAAGTACAGACACTGAGAACACATCGAGACGGCGCCGAGACGACACCGAGACAACACCGTGACGACACTGAAACGACACCGAGGCGGCCATCGAGACGACACCGAGACGACAATGAAATGACACTGAGATAACACGGAGACGATACCAAGATGACACCATGACGACAGCGAGGTGACGAACAAAGTCCGGATTTGTTTACCGATGGTAATACTATTGTTCACCTGTAACTTTCCATTGACGACAGGGAGTCGGCACCGACATGATGACACCGAGACGACAACGAGACAACGACATGATGACACCAAGACGGCACTGAGACGACACTGAGACGACACCGAGACGACACTGAGACAACACTAATACGACACTGAGACAACACCGTGACGACACTGAAACGACACCAAGGCGGCCATCGAGAAGACACCGAGACGACAATGAGATGACACTTAGATAGCAAAGAGAAATATCAAGATGACACCGTGACGAAAGCGAGGTGACGAACAAAGTCCGGATTTGTTCACCGATGGTAATACTATTGATAGATTGTTAAATCCTGTGCATAAAACCCTCTCACTCACTGCCGACATCGAACACCACCTACCCACGATGTAATCAGAAATCACGTCTGGAGACATATATTTGATCAGATGTCACCCGAGACAAATCGCTGTATTGATAACTTGAAGGGAATCATGTCACACCTCCTTTCACAATGTTAGAACGTGGTCGATATTTTCTCACTCGCCCTGACTGTGGACGTCCTTTGTGAATGTATGTCCGGCTATACTGGCGTCTTATAAGTCCTGATTTGATGTAAGTTTCACAAGTGCTCGGTCGAAGCAGTTGTGCCGTCACTGTAGTTGGCGCTTATTTCTCAGTATACAGCGATACGAACGATTAAGACATCTCCCGTTTGTGAAAGTTTAGGAGTGTGACATCTTATAATGAAAATACACCCAGTGCTTCATATTTAAAAACATACACAGTGCTTCATATCTATAAACATACCTAGTGCTTCATATTTAAAAACACACCCAGTGCTTCATATTGAAAAACACACCCAATGCTTCATATTTGAAAACATACCCAGTGCTCGTTTGAAAATAGCGGGGTTTTAGCGGGATACATGACTCGACATGATCTGATCTGGGCCTACATGACAACTTAGCTGCCGGGGAAAAGAAAGTATACACAAATTGTTGATAGTGACACAAACTGACGTAGAGAAGAATGGTGACGTATGACAAGACATCACAGGATCCTGATGTGCCAATGGAGTCAAATCTAACACACACACACACACACACACACACACACACACACACGATCAGACGACAGTACCACCCGTCCTTCCAGCTTCCTTTCTATAGAACCTCTTTACGATTCATACCAACCGATAACTTTACACTGTTGACACCGACACGACACCGAGACTACACTGAGGCGATACCGAGACGACACTGAAATGATGAATATGACATACTGAACCACTATCAAAAGGTGATTCTACCAGATGACCTCCGAAATCCTGCTTCATATGCATAACAAATCTGTATGAATGTCAATGTTTCAAAATCATCATCAAATCAATACATTAACTCGAAGGAATACCCTGTAATACAGGTTAGACTATGACAATTATGCTTCATTCATCTTATCAACAAACAATAAAACACACTGACGACATGACGATGATCTAAAAAGAACATCCAACAAAATAAACCATCATGTGAAATTCACGATTTTGTGAACCTTCGAAAGGAAATAATACTCTTATTCAAACCGATAGAAACATAAGTAATGACGAAATTAATTCTTATGAAACATGGGTACAATGGGTGAAGCCCATTTCTGGTGTCCCCCGCCGTGATATTGCTTGAATATTGCTAAAAGCGGCGTAACACCAAACTCACTCACTCTTATGAAACATTCACTCTATGGGATGTTTGTGGGAATGGAGGCGAGAGTGCGCATTAAATATCCATCTGGACGTCTCATTAGATGAACTGGCGACGCTGTCATTCCCGCTGCTGATGGTGTTGTAATATGAGACCGTCGTAAAACACGCTGATGTGGAGAGCCGATATCACGGCATCCTGGGGATCATCGGATACCGTGGACGCGGGGAACTGGAGACACTGTGACGAGGCTCGACGGTGAAATACGGAGCCTGGGTGTTTTATGTGTGCTTTAAATGACTCCAAGATATCATTACACCTACGTGTTCGTTCCCTGAAATAGTCTGACTATACCTATACTTTAAAGACTTGATATTGTTCAGGAATAACCTCAGACTCTGATAACCTGCACCTAATAACAATATCTCAGTAAAGTTACATTTGAGCTAACGGGCAAAAGAAAGGATACCAAGTCGAAATCACTGATATTCAGTACAAAGCGACAAGCCACCATTGTTAAAAAGGAATGAATAGTTTATTTTCAATCATGACGAGCTATTGAAAAAGAGTGAGTGAGTATGGTTTTACACAACTTTTAGCAATATTCCAGCAATATCACGGCGGAGAACACCTGAAATGGGCTTCACACATTGTACCCATGTTGGGAATCGAACCCGGGTATTCGGCGTGACGCTTTACCCAGTAGGCTACCCCTCCGCCCCTGACACAGACATGACACCGAGACGACACTGTGACGACACCGATACGACACTGAGACGACACCGAGATGACACCGAGACGACACAGAAATGACACCGAGACGACACTGAGATGACACCGGTGCGACACTGAGACGACACCGAGACGACACTGAGATGACACCGAGACGACACTGAGGCCACACCGAGACGACACAGAGATAACACCGAGACGACACTGAGATGACACCGGGACGACACTGAGACGACACCGAGACGACACTGAGATGACACCGAGACGACACTGAGGCCACACCGAGACGACACAGAGATAACACCGAGACGACACTGAGATGACACCGGGACGACACTGAGACGACACCGAGACGACACTGAGACGACACCGAGATGACACCGAGACGACACTGAGGCCACACCGAGACGACACAGAGATGACACCGAGACGACACTGAGATGACACCGAGACGACACTGAGACGACACCGAGACGACACTGAGACGACACCGAGATGACACCGAGACGACACTGAGACGACACCGAAACGACACTGAGATGACACCGAGGCGACACCGAGACGACACCGAAACGACACTGAGACGACACTGAGACGACACAGAGATGACACCGAGACGACACTGAGATGACAGTTATCTATAATGTTCGGGAACTGTACAAGTGAAGTCTTGTAAACTCACATTTCGCTCTAGGACACCACGCCCCCAAACGCCTTCTTTGACGTCAAGTTTTCCCGCAAACCAAACGGCTTATGAACCCCAACCCCCCTCCCCCACCATGTCTGGTTCGCTGGTAACGCTGAGACATCAAATGCTACTTCGCCGCCAACACGTCCAGATCAGATAGAAAAGCATGTTTAAGCTTGGTAGACGAAAAACTGTGAAAAAGTCACCACTTCCGATGGTCTTGATCAAATAGATATTTTTCGACAACCTACGCACTTGAGTTGATGTACAAATATGAAACACTCGTTAGAAAATCGATTTTGGTTTCTGATATCATCTGCGTGACGGATAGCATCATGTCTAGTAAGTAACGAACCTTAATATCCATTCCGCGACAGGAAAGCAGACCGTGCCACGTACATGAACTTTGGAACTGGAATGACGTAATGTTCAATACGTGTACAGGAGACGTTTCTGAAGGCCGGGGTTATCTTCAGAGCAAATCGTGTCTGAAACATGAAACACAAGTAAGTTAAATTGGTAAAGCGTGATGGAGATTAAGAAACGTAGGTCTTTCCACAGAGTAATGATTCGCCTGTAGGCTTGGTAAATCGACGCAACACGTGTTTGTCATAAGAGGCGACTAACTGCATCAGATGACTTGTTTGGTGCATGTCAGTATATCTCGGTTGCGTGGA